TACACCCGTCGCTAAGCCAGTACCCCGCTTGAAAACGATACAGCTCTGCGTACGGAAAGTCGAACCCGAGGCCAGTCAATTTGCTGTACGGCCATGTCGTCAGGAGCTCTTCTGCCGCACGTCCGACCGCTGCATGGTTGTCCACCATCGCTTTCACTTTGGTAAATATCCAAGAGCTGCACTTTACACCTTCCGAATAGATCTTTCGTAGATGCCATAGCCATTTCATAGCCTCCAACTGCTCTCGACTAAACTTGCCGATCTTTTGGATCACGACAACTGGGACGTCATCACTGTCATCGCCATCCACTGCAATAGTTTCAGGAATGGGTTGGCCGTCATTCATTGTTGCCTTGTCTTGTTCAAGTCGTTCTAGTACCTCACCAACTAGGTCTTCCGCAAATAGGAACCACACGGTTTCGGGGACGAAGCTTTTCTCCATTTTCCACGTGAAACACGGCGTTCCTTTGGGAGCTTCAACTTGGTGAGTCGAAATGTACGATTGAACCTCGTGTAATGAGGGGCAAATTTCCTCCAGGCATGCTACCACTTCACAGACGTCTTTGTCTCAGAGTAGGCCGCGTAGACGCATTCCACGGTTGTACGACTGCAACGCAACCTTTGCCTTTTGCCTCTGCCCAGCGCGGTTGAGACGTGGTCTACCTACTTTAGGCGCAGATCTGTTCAGACGTGGTGCTGTCGGCCTTGTCGACTGGGACAGCAGTTATCTTACCATTTTCGCCTATTATGCCACTCGTCAAAATGAGTCATCGCGCTTTTAAACGCGTCGTCCGAAAAGTGAGTCAGCTCGCTACTGATACGGCCAAAGGCTTGTTGAGCCCGTCTGTACTTTTCCCGTTCAGTTAGCGGACCAGGTGTGGTGCCAGTATCGGTCTTGTACACTTTAGCAACAAATGGTGTTGCCAGCTCCGTGACGTACTCCACAGAACTTCGGCTCTGTCCGTACCATCTGTATGAATACAAGACATGACAAATACCCGTAAGAAACCTGGTCAAACCTGGTCAACACCTGGAAAATACCTGGACATACCTGGGTGGGATGGCTGCGAACGGAATGACGAATGCACTTCCAATCGACTTCTTGTACAGCATAGCGTGACGACATGGAAGCTTCATCGTCAACGCGAATTCACAGTCACACGTCCAGTCTGCCTTGTGGACCAAGCACTCGTGCTGGTCACTGCGCACCGTAACCGTTGTCAGTGAATGTGTACCGACACATACTCTCTTCGGCCACTGCAACCTTGTACTGGGTCTCGAACGCCGACGCAACCCAGTGTCGTCGTCCCCAACACGACATTCATCTCCTCCGAAAACCCGGAGTCGCGTAAAGTCCCTGGCATTTCGACTTGTGCTTTGTAATTGTCCTCGATCCGCCGCTGCATCGCCAAAAGTGCCGCCAGTGTACCGTGCATTGTGAAGTGGGACTTGATGTTCTGCTTTACTTTCCCAAAAAACTTTCGACACGATTGTTTATGTGATTGTTCAAGTGGGGAAGATCGCAGCGATACGCCATTACCCATATTTCAGTGCAAGATTCCCAGTTCGTCACGAAATAGTCTCACAGAGTCTCATTCCCATCGCGACACGACAAGCTCTTGAACTCGTCTCGATTCAGCTTGTATCCAGCTTCCGTCCTCGCATATGTCATGTTAGTTATGACATGGTTCAGCTGAGTCACTATATCTGCCGAGTACGAACCATACTTCCCGCTACGAACGACTTCATGTAGCCATTTGATCACGTGAAAGTGGCACAGGAACACACGGGCCTCTGGTAGCTTTCGCTTAATTACATCCACTTCTCTCATGTACTTATCGACGATGACGATGCGAACAAACCGCCATTGTTCGTTCACTCGCTTCAAGTGATCCAGACACTTCGCCATATGCCAGTCGGCAGTAGTTTTAAGGAGCGAGTACTGCACTGGTTGCCCATGCCCAAACTGATCCGTTGCAACAATCGACAGTAACTGGTAATTGTATCTGTGAGGGGAAATATAACTGGTCAATACCTGGACAAGCCTGGAAGATACCTGGAGTAATACCCAGCGCATGGACAACGTAATACCCGTCAAAGCATACTCACTTGTTCGATTTGTGCGTACAATCCATCTGCAACACCTCTGGGAAGTTGTTTTACATAGCACGCATGTGTGCGGTAGTCACGGAGATGACACCCGTATCACCTCGAGCACTTTGGTTCACGGTAGACACGTACTTCGGATTGTCAAAGTTGAACTGGATGACTGTTTCAGACACGTTGTCATCATCAGATAGCTGCCTGTCTGCAAAAGCATACAACACAAAAAATTAGACAACGACTCACCCGCACGAGCCATCTATAGTACTCACCAGATTGCCGAACACGCGCCACCAGGTTACGGACGTCGTCCATTGTGACACGGTGGTCCGAATTCTGCCTGATGTAGTCGTAAATGCTCGCATTTCCAGCTTCCGACTCCACGAGCAACTCGATACCAGGCATCAACGGAGACTTGGATGAAACCTGGCGAATACCTGGGTAAGACCTGTAAATACCAGGCGACAGTGGATGGTTGTGGCGGTACACCTCACGATTCAGTGTAATCCCCCAACCTTCCTTCGTTTCCACAACTTGCGCCAGAAATTGAAAAGGGACACTCGTTCCGTCGCAACTTGTATACCTTGTTCGACCGTTCGCGTTCAGGCCACCCATGGGTACAAATGTACTTGCGCTGAAATGGCTTCATCGCTTCTGGAACCAACGGGATTTGGTCGTCTGGAATCCCTTGATACCGTGTCTGCTGCCGCAAGGAGTCATTGCGTCGGCTGATACTAATGTTCTCCTTCACCACCAGCACCTGTTTGGTGCGTTGCATGTAATCTTGCAAACTTTCCTCGAATAGTGGCCAGGTTTTGTGGTCGCTCAGGAATGAAGGAACAGCCACGTCTTCCGTTTCTTCGTTTTCATCGTCTTGAACCTCCGAGACCGAGCGCTTCTTACGACGACTTACAGATTCGCCCACTGCCGCGGCCTTGTCTTCCTCCGAGCCCGTTGTAGTACGCCCACTTTCTCCGCCATCCTCACTTGCGTCAGCGTCCTTTTCCTCCTCCGACCCCCCTGCAGGACGCCCAATAGCGTCATCGCCCCCACTTGTGTCGCCGATTTCGTCTTCCACCGCCTCCGACATGTCCGCAGCCCCACTTTCTTCTTGAGGACCGACGTTTCCACCAGCCTGAGGGTCGTTGTCAGAGCCGGCGCACTCCTTGCGGACGCTTTCGATGGCACGGGACTTCTCCGACCAAGTGCGTGTCTCTACGACGCGCGCTCTGCGAGCTGCCTCAGTGGAACGAGCTTCTTCCTTCCTTAGAGCCTCCACAGCCATCTCGTCAGCCATCCGCTGCTTAATCTTAGACGTGTTGTGTGTGCGCCCCATCGTGCTGCTTCCTCCTCAACTGCCGCGTGTCATGTTCCCCAGACGAGTTGCTGAGTGGCTGAGCGTGAAAAGAAAAGAAAAAAAATCAGTAAGGAAATTGTACCTTCTACCTGTAAGAATCCTAGTGGGAAAACCTGGACTGAAAGCTTACCATACCTTCATTGAGCGGCCATCTACCCAGCGATTCATTGCAAGCTTAAACGATGCTGCTGTGGAGAAGTTTCCCGCTCATCGGACGCTTTCGAATCTGCTGAACAAATATGCTGCAGGGGATGGTGAAGAAGTTGATGGAGTGATGAAAATTCACACCATCTCGGGAGATCGAGTGAGCTTCCTGAGTGCTGTCTGGCAGAACATCGTGAAGACGCATCTGCTGGGGTGCCAGCTAGCCCTCTTTGGTGCTATCACTACTGTTGGCATCTTTCCGACTGAATCAAGTCATGACGGGTTCACACTGGCTAAGCACAGGGAAGGTTTAGTGATCCGAACAGAAGTGCAGAGATGGAAAATTGGTGCGGTAGTAACGAACGATGCTGGCCGATGCAATCGTGCTCGTCGAATTCTTGCCGTGCGCTGGTCTCGAGTGGTATTTTTGAAGTGCTTCGCTCATGATATGAACAATCTCATCAAGAGTATTCTACGGTCGGATTCATTTCGCTTAGTGACCTCTCAAGATAAAAAGGTGGCCAAGGATCTTAACGCGTCCTCTGCCAAATGGCTGAAGCGAGTTCAGGAGATGATGAACTTGACTTACGGGACAGGACGGAAACTATTTCATTTGTGTCCGACTCGTTGGAATTCCATGCAGCGTTGTTTTGCTTCACTATTACGCGTACAAATAGCCATGCGTCTTTTTTCGGTGTAGTATCGCGGTGACAAAGAATTCCCGATGGTTTGTTCTGTGTTCATCGGGGTCTCGTTAGCTTTCATCGACCATTTGTGAGACTTTAGACACATTGCAATTTTGGTCACGGTGTTGCCGGATGGTGGCGAATGTCATTAAGACGCGCTTGCGCGAGGTATATGGCATGGGTATTACCTCTTTGGCAAGTGGATGATGTTTGATACGGCACCAGCAGCTCGTGCAGTCTCAAACTATTTTCCTATCTTGACCAAGAGGACTGACTATGGCTCTCTTGCGGAAAAACTTTGTTCGTTTTGATCTACGTCCTTGATAAACGCACAAAACAAGCAGTTTCTGGTATACAACTGCTGCATATCTCTAATTATCGATATTTCTGACCTTGAATCACTCAGGTAAATGTTGACCCTGTCCCTTTAGAAGGCACGTCAATGAAAGTAAGTTAATATGCAATCTATATTTGTTGGATGTGTAGGTTTAACCATGGTGTTGAACACTTTAGCCACCCAGACTCACGACGCGGCGAATGTCACACTTTACTCACTGCACCACGCTAAAAGTTTGTCGTTGGGTCGGTAGTACGGATGCAGCCCACGATGGCGCGCGAAACTGAAGCTGGAAACTATATTAGTTTCATTTCAACGCCTAGAAACGTTGTGAAAGATATGGTACAATTGTGAGATCAGTAGAATTCAAGACGACCTTGTGGCGCAATGGATAGCGCATCTGACTTCTAATCAGGGGGTTGTGGGTTCGAGTCCCATCAAGGTCGGTTGTTTTCCGGCACTTATAATATTATGTTAGTTTTTGGCTCTTGTTAGCCAAAAAAAATGCTTTACATAGGTTATGAATGCTAAGTGTTTCTTTACATATACAGCGACTGTAATCGTAATTGTAGTGTTGTGAATACAAATGATCAGAAAATTGCTACCTTACAGCAAATAGCATTCAATACGAAATGGGATGGGTACGGCGTTGTTTTCACTTACTAGTACTTACTTACTTCTTAGAGTTCTGGCAGTTGAGTAGAAATACAAGTTATTTTTTGTGATCGAAAATTTAAGGTCGTGGAGGAGAGAGTTACTATTACGCATAGTCAGAATCATAAATTATTGGTTTGTGAACATATAGGAATACTAGTACTTTTAAATAACACTCAACAAATATGCATTTTTACAACTACATATATAATTGAAGGTGCGATACGTTTGACATTGGATAGAAATGTTACCCATTTATTGCTAGTTAGATTCGTAGATCGCATCGCTTATTTTTATATTCTCTGGTGAAGCATTTTATAATATAAATTATGAAGTATAAAGACGATTTCACACAGATGGTATGGGAGTTTCTTTTCTTGCTGCGCGCTCGTGGCGTTTAGCGAGCTTTTGTTGGCCATGGGTGAGCGCAATCACGTCGTCGTCTTCGTCATGACGACGAACCGCACCTGCTGGTGCCTCGCCTCGCTGTGTACACCTCCAGCTAGCACCAGAGGAGCTCCTCGAGACCGTGCACTGCGTTGACCATCTCGCCTTGGTATCCTTTGTGCCTGATATGCCTATATCACATTTATCAGCATCATAAACGTTTCGTCCAATGATGCTCACGCAAAACCGGCTCGATTCGGTTAAATCCGTTCTGTGGGGCGACCGGTTTCATTCAGATTCAATTCCATTCGAAACCGATTTTTGCCCACCCTATCTCATTCACTACATTCACGATCTTATGTTGTTGTTAACAAAAAAACTATGTTTCCCTTTGCTCAAATACCGGCGCCTAAGCTCTGATTTACTGACCTTCTTACTTACTTACTTACTTACTTACTTACTTACTTACTTACTTACTTACTTATTTGTTGCTTACTTACTTACTTACCTACTCATAATATGAGTAAGCGAGTCAACGTAAAACGAAATGACACTAAGGGCCGTTCTTACCGACGGTAGTTTGGTTGTGTTTTGGGCACCAAGGTAGTTTGGATGCTCAACTGTTACGATTACGAGGTAGTCTGGGCGGTGGGGGGGGGGGGGGGGGGGGGGGGGGTTTGGGGGGGTGGGGGGGGGGGGGGGGGGGGGGGGGGGGGGGGGG